GCACAGGCAGCCTGACTGAAGCCCACTGCTGAGGGGAGCAGCAGGGAGACAGGAGAGGTCTGCCACGCCCTGGGGATCACTCCCTGGCAGAGGATCGGACTCGTGCTGCAGCGGCTGCGGCCAGCCCCCCAGGGCTGCGCCCTAACCCCTGCTCCACCAGGGAGGCCCTGGACTCCATGTTCTGAGGCCAGGAGAGGCTGAGCCTGGACCCCGGACTGACGCGGGAAGGTTTGGGTCCGGGCTCAGAGCTCTGGACTGTGCTGAGAAGGGCCAGGCCTGGCCATGCAGGAGGGGAGGCTGGACACTCCCTGACGCGCTTCCGCCGCGGGTGGACACGGAGGGGCTGGGTCGCCGCGGTGTGGGCCCTGGGGCGGGTCACCCGGTGCAGGGCTGCGACGCCAGTGCAGAGACCGTCGCACTGGCAGGCTCCGAGCGCTGCTGGCCGCCTGCCCGCCGGGCCGCACAGATACCATCTTTATAGGCTGGACCACAGACCACAGGCAGGGCCGCTGGGAGGGCCGCAACTCAGGGCAGGTAAACAGCTCGTGCGGGGCCGCGGGCGGCTGTGCAAACACCCGCGGGGGCATCCGGGCAGCGCCTGTGCTGAGGAGACGCCCCGGCAGACCCCTGAGGGGGCCCCCACCCCCGGCAGCCCGGCTTCCAGCTTGTCCACAGGGCAGCCCCTCACTCCCGGGCTAAATCCTGCCTGCCTCCCCAGCCCCGGTCGCCTCTGGCCCACCCCTGGCAAACCCACCAGAGCCAGTGTCCTGCCCCCCGCAACCCGGCGCTCCTGCAGGGCCAGGTCGGGAGGGCGCAAGCCCAGCAGGGTGGCACCCGGGCAGAAGTCCCGGGTGCGGCCGGGTGAGCCCACACGCAGGGCTCCAGCAGCGGCTGGCTGCAGGTGATGGTGCTGGGGTGTCAGTTCCAGCTCTGGGTCCGGAGCACTGAACGAGGAGGCCGTGAGGCCCTGGCTGGGCGAGAGCGTGGGGGCTCGGACCACAGATCCAGCAGGAGGGCACAGGCTTGACCAGGTTCGCGTGTGGGCTTAGGGGTCACCAGCCTGAAGGCCCTGGCTAAGTCCCAGGGGCACATTTGGGGCCGGCACTGGGGATGAGCTGGCACAGGAATCGGGGATCCTACAGCTCTGGGGTGCCAGCATTTCTGGGCACACTGAGGGGGCGCAGCCCTGGCTGGGGCCTGGGCGGTGGGGAAGGGGCTGCCGGCCAGGCCCCACACCCCCGGGCTCGGCTCCACGCCGGCCTCATCCTGTCTGGCGCAGCCCTGCCGGGCCCCGGTCTGGTGCCTCAGAGCCACGGTCCGGCTCGCCGGCCCCGACTCCCTTGCCGGACAGAGGCCGTCCAGCCCCCGGCAGCAGGGGCAGGGCCTGGGCAGCCTCTGGCTGCCAGCTGGCAGGGGCGGCCCCAGGGCTGAGGCTTTTAAAGGCTCCGTGGGCGGCTCCGACTCGAGCTGGCCGCCCACCCTGGACACCTGTGTTGCCATGTGGGTCCCGGTCCTGTGCCTGCTGCTTTTCCCGGAGGGGTCTGGTGAGCGGGGTGGGAGGCGGGCCCCTCCCGGGCCCGGCCCCGGCCCCTCGGCCCTGCGAGCCGCCCTGACCAGCACCCCGCGCACAGGCTCGGCGCCCCCCGTCCAGGCTCGGG